CAGAACATTTCCATTATTGCAGAAAATTGTATCAGACAGTACTGCTCTGGACTATGAAGTACAGACTGTAAGTGGCATGAGAGTTCACAGAATGGCAGAAGGTATTGTAAGTTTGGAATAATTGGAGAATAATTTGCAGAGGAGGTGGACCTGGAATTTTAGGCATTGATTTAACAGGAAAAGGTAGGAGTAAGCTGGGTAGACCAGCATTAAAGATGTTTTGACTAATGTGTTAGAAAATGATCAGAGGTAAGTTTGAATAGTTAGAGCCAGAGAGAGTGTATAATCATTGATGGCTTGGAAAATTTGGCATTCATATTTTAGACTAGCTGAAAAGACCACATATTTGCATAATTAATCTGGCACTTATTATGCCCTAGTGAAATAAAAGGGAGAAAGAGTAAAACAAAAAGGACTGGAACTTTAAGGTGACTGGGAAGTGAATGAATCATGGTAGCAAGGGTGTGGAAGAGAAGGAAGAGACTAGAGATGTAAATTTGAGTCATTCCTCTAAAGGTAAGAATAATTACCCTACTGCCTAAGTCCTTGGTTATAAGTAGTTGTGCTCTGAAGTCTTTGAGGAATTTTACTTAGGGGGGTGAGTTTTTTTTTTTTCCTTTTGGTAAAGATTTATTTTATTTATACAAGAGCTGGGGTACAGGCCAGATGCACGGGAGGGTGAGAGGATTCACCGGAGACAGAGTGGGGAACAGAACAGGCAGACTGACGAAATACACTGCTGAGGGGAGCAGCGGGAGAGACAGGAGAGGTCTGCTTCACCATGTGGGATTCTCGCCGGCCAGCTGGGATCAAACCTGCGCTGCAGAGGCTGCAGACAGCTTCACAGCGGTGCTCAACCGCCTGTGCCACTAGGGAGGCCCCGGGAGTGAGAGATTTTTTTTTATCTTTTTTTTTTTTTTTTTATCTTTTTTTTTTTTTTTTTTAATAGAGGCATGTTTTATTTATTTATTTTGTTTGTTTGTTTGTATGTTTGTTTATACATGCACTGGGTACAGTCAGAAGCGCGGGAGGGTGAGAGAATTCACCAGAGCCAGAGCGGGGAGCAGAGCAGGCAGAAGGACCGAAGTACACTGCTGAGGGGAGCAGCGGGCGGCAGGAGAGGTCTGCGCGCCATGTGGGATCCTCCGCCGGTGGCCGGGGAGCAGCCGGGGATCGAACCGGCGCCGCAGAGGCCGCGGGCAGCTTCGCAACCCAGCGCTCAACCGCTGCGCCACCGGGGAGGCCCGGGAGTGAGAGATTTTTGATCCTTTTTTTTTAATGTATCTTTCTTTCCTCAGCAGAATAGGTTTTTTTTTTGTTTCTTTTTTTTTTTTTTTTTAGAGTTTGCATGACTCTTTCCAGTGATTTTTAAACTTTTTATTAAGTGGAGAAACCCTTTTTTACAAAATAAGATTATACAAAATCCCATAAAACACTAATTGCTTGTTTTATATCAAGAAGCTGAAAGAGCCAGATTGAGAATGGAGGTCAAATATAATAGTTGCAGTCTTATGTCATTCAGCCTCAGCATCCAATTTCATTCTGTAGTGTTTGTTTATGAACTGTTGTGAAGACCCGGTACAACAGATTGGCGTTTCAGCTGGCCTTGCCATCTCAGGGTACTCTCTAGGTTGAACTGAAATGGCAAAAAGAAGCATTCTTAGATCTCCCCAAAATTGAATTATCCAAGCAGTATGAGTTCATGTTCTGGTGGTCTATAAAGGATTATGGTTTGGGCCTCCCTGGTGGCGCAAGGGGTTACGTCTCAGCACTATGAAACTATTACCCCGCGGCCACTACAGCACAAGTTTGATCACCAGCCAGGTTGCTGACCCGCATGGCACAGCAGACCCTCCTGTCTCACCTGCTGCTCCCCTCAGCAGTGTTACTTCAGTCAGTCCACCTGCTCTTTTCCCCACTTTGTCTCTGATGAATCCTCTCACCTCCCACCTCTGGCCTGTAACTCAGCTCTTGTATGCATAAATAAATCTTAAAAAAAAAAAGAAAAAGAAAGAAACCATCATCTTTATAAAAATAAACTAAAGGGGACCTCCCTGGTGGCGCAAGGGGTTAAGCTGCGCACTATGAGGCAATCCACAGCCTCTGCAGCATGAGTTTGATCCCCTGCTGGCCAGGGAGAAACCCACATGGCCAACAGACCTCTCCATCTCGCCCGCTCTTCCCCTCAGCAGTGTATTTCAGTCAGTCTGCCTGTTCTGTTCCCACTCTGTCTCTGGTGGGTCCTCTCACCCCCCACACCTCTGGCCTGTACCCCAGCTCTTATATGCATAAATAAATAAATCTTTAAAAAAATAAAATAAAGGGTTATGGTTTGGTTTAACACTTATGAGTATATATTCATTTTTTTGAAATTTAAAGTTAGTAAATGGAATTCCAAAGAATCATAGGGTTCCATGGAATACAGTTTTGTTGTTACTTTTAAAGACTACCCCTTTAGCTATTTTTACTCTTACCTTAAGGTATTTTTCTAATCTCTTTTTTCCCCGTAGAACCCAAGAACTCTGTATACTAGCCTTTTCCAAGTATATTCCTTGTTAGTAGGTATTCCTTCATTAAAACATTGGATTAAACAATATTAAAAGATAATTTTTGCTACAAAACTTCTCAGTGCCTTTAATTCATATTGTGTCTCCTCTTGAGGAAGCCTAAAAAGAATTCAGTGTTTTCCAAACTTCATCTTCATTCACAAGGTGTAGTCTTATGGAACATCCTTTGGGACAAACAATTACTACAGTAGAAAGGATTTTATTACTGTGTTCATCTTAGAATTTATGCATTGCCCAGTTCCATACTGGGCACTTATTAAATGATTATTGATTGAATGCCATTGATGGGCCAGGAATTGAAGAGCAGAATCTTTGAGGTGGGGATTGGGGTTAAGCATTGTTGAGAGGAGAAAGAAAACTATAAACATATTTTTTTCTGCCCTTTCTTTGAAACCTTTTTCTCTCTTTGCTGATTTTTGTACTCCTGTCCTGAGGTGTGTTACTACAGTTTATCTCAATTAGGCTAAAGTTTTAGTATCTGCATTTTCCAGAGATTTTGTTGTAAAGTACCTATGAGTTTATTAAGGGCCGGTACACTCATTATTTTTTCTATTTTGCCATATCCTTGGTGTTCAGTATTTGATAGATGAATGTAATTATTCATGTGTTAAATGAGATTCCTAGAACATGGGTCTGAACTGTTCATTTTGCCCTTAATGTTGTTTTGTTTTTCCCAATTTTTAGCCTAACCTGTTTTCAGTAACCTACCTTAGCCATTCATTCTCCAACCCCCAAATCCTGTGGTCACATCTTTATTTATTTATTTTTTTAAGGGTTTTTTTTTTTTTAAAAGATTATTTATTTGTTTGTTTGTTTGTTTATGCAAGCACTGGGTACAGTCAGAAGCACAGGAGGGTGAGAGAATTCACCAGAGCCAGAGCAGGGAGCAGAACAGGCAGAAGGACTGAAGTACACTGCTGAGGGGAGCAGCAGGCGGCAGGAGAGGTCTGCGCGCCATGAGACCCTTGCCTGTGGCCGGGGATGGAACTGGCGCTGCAGAGGCTGCGGACAGCCTCACAACCCAGCGTTCAGCCACTGCGCCACCGGGGAGGCCCTTGTGGTCACATCTTTAAAAAAAGAAAAGAAAAAGGCAAAGAAAAAAGGCAGTCAGCAATCTGGAACTTTTTTTTTTTTTTTTTTTTTTTTTTTAGATTTGTTTTATTTATGTGTATAAGAGCTGGGGTATAGGCCAGAGGTTTGGGGAGAGGGAGTAAAGGGGGAGAAAATTCATCAGAGACAGTGGGGAGCAGAACAGGCAGATCTACTGAAATACACAGCTGAGGGGAGCAGCAGGCGAGACAGGAGAGGTCTGCTGTGCCATGTGGGTTAGCTCCCTGACCAGGGATTGAACTTGTGCTGCAGTGTCTGGTGATAGCTTTGTAGTGCTGAGACTTAACCCCTTGAGCCACCAAGGAGGCCCAGTCTGGAACTATTTCAAAGATATTTCCAATGTTAAAATATACTCACTATACCAAATAGGATTTTTCTTTTCAGAAAGCTAGCAAGGTAGGGATGTTCTGTGTGGAAACCATGTTGTCTTTGCTGTCTCCACATCTAATAAATTACTTTTATCTTTTTATTGAATCTGAAATAATTAGCTATTTTTACGCTTACTAAACACTTCATTAGGGTGGGAGTAGGTGACAGTTTGGCAGTGTTCCAAGGTTGATAACCATTTGCAGTACCATATTATACATTTTGGCAAACAGGTTTGTGATATATAATCGTCCTTGTCCTAAGATCCCTTATCCCCAAAACATTCACTTAGACTGCTTCCTTTTTCTACTTCCTGGTTCTCTCCTTTATAACTTGTGTGAATCAGTAGTAAGACATGTCGCCTCCATTTCCATATTACTTCTTACTTTTTTATAATAAGGATTCTTTGCTTCATTATTCAACGTTGTTAGGTTACCAGTTACTTTTTAAGCAAAGGTACATTTTCATATATGGCTCTTTGCAACTTTTCTTCCCCCTCCCCTATCTGGTATTCTTTTGCTGTTTTTCCATCCAGTCATGGCTAACAGGGTTGGCATTAGGCTTGTTATTCTAGTCAACTATATTTTTGCCTAACTGGGGTTATTTCAGTATTTTGTTGAAACTTCTGGTATGTGAACATGGTATATAAATACATATACACACATACATTTACAAAATTTTAGGGGTTATAGAGAATCTCAGTTACTGATCTGAAGGTCATTACTGTGATATAACAGTTGCAGATTGGACTACATCTGAATTAACATGAGATTGCTTCATGGGAGAATTTTGTTTTTAATAGCTACCTATTATGAGTTATCTTTTTTCTTATTCTTTGCTTGTTTTTCTTAAACCTTCAAGTTAATAAGAAATTCACATTCACTGATGGTTCCAAATTGAGTCCCTGATAGTATATGTTCACTGTATTTAGTTCTCCCTGGTATAATCTCCATATAGGTAGAGTACAGAGAGATGGATGAAAGCTTGGCCAACCTCTCAGAAGATGAATATTACTCAGAAGAAGAAAGAAATGCTAAAGCCGAGAAGGAAAAGAAGCTTCCCCCACCACCCCCTCAAGCCCCACCTGAAGAAGAAAATGAAAGTGAACCCGAAGAACCATCTGGTGAGTTACAGTAACCAGTCTCAGATATGTTTTATTTTAGAAATAAAAATAAATGGATTTATTTCTATTCCATAGTACTATTTATGTCTTCATTTTTTGTTTATACTTTGGCGTTTGCCAAATGTGTCTTAATGTGTGTGTGTGTGTGTATACATATGTATGTGAATAATATACATATGCACACATGTAGATGCTTACATACCTTCGTATATACATAGTGCTACTGATAATTCTCCTTTCATATGTGTCTATACATATATAGGAGGACAGTAAAGAATGGGGGTGGAAAAATCATGGTGCAGTGTAAGGTGATTGGAAAGTAGGAGAATATAAACAGTTAGAGAAAACATACAGAAAGCCAAATCCAAAGAACCAGACCTCTTGATGTTAACTCTGATTCAGAATTTAGAGACAGAATGGTTCAGAAATTGTTCTGGGATTAAGTATTTCTAATAAAACTGCCACATTGTCTTCTAACATGGTGTGTTTAACAGGTCTTCTTGACTTTGAATTTTTACTGAGTTCTTCTTAAAATACCTTTTGTGTTTCTAGTAGCTCTAGGTTAGATCACCTTACCAGTTCTTTTAGTTCTACACCTTTTAAAAACAAACAAAAACTGCTTTCAGAGCCATCTGCTATATATACGTGATTTAGGTATCCAGATTAAGATTTGCTTCATTTGAGAAGTTTTATTCCTTTTCCTTTAGGTTTTTCTGCTCTATGATGTTATGTAAATCACCAGAAGTTATTTTTTAAAAAGGGGCAGCTAGTGTGGGATGGATTACAGATTAGGTATTAATTTAAACTTAGATTTAGAATTTAACAGACTTTGCCTAAAACTCATAAAAATTCACAATTCATAGTAATTGTAATAAAGGGTGATAAAGGAATATAGTTTGAGAACATTTAGAAAAAGATATATTGTGGTTTCAATTCATATCAAGATTTGGGAGTTTTCTAGAAATTGTTTTCGTAAAACTTTCAAAAATAAAAATAATTTATTGGGAGTGGTATGTCACTAAGACAAATGTAGCCTTCTCTGGACCTCAACAGTACCTCTTCTCTTTTTGTTAATTTTTTTCCTTCCTCTTTCTAATTTTTCACTTTTAGCCTTTCCCCTTTCTGTACTTCTTTCCAACTGTCCCCTTAATGCTACTCCTTTCTTCTACATTCTTCATTGATTCTTGCCTTTCTTTTATTCTACTTTTGCTGTAGACCTGCTGATCATATACATGGAGATAATTTTTTTGATACTATCATAACTCAGGAGACTGCTGCTCTCTTAGTTTAAGGGCTGTAAGTGTAATTCAGCACATGAGCTGTTATCTCAGATGCTGCCTCACTATCTTTCTGTGTGTAGTTGTCAGTGTCTTTGTAAATAACTGGTTTACTTAGGTACACACTTTCTTTGCCTTCTGAAAAATTACAGTCTTGTTTTCTTTTTTGGCAGAGGTTCTCCCCACCCCCTGCCCCCCCCCCCCCGCCTCCCCCAAACACTTTCCACAAAAAGTAAATATCTTAGCAGAGGGATTTTAGGATTTAGGGGAAATGTCTTTATGATGTTCTAATTAATTTCAACACAGTGGTTTAGATCAAGTGTTCTTAAATTTGGAGGGAAAGTTTAAGTTTTGTTTCCTAAATTTACAATGTCTTTAGTGCTCGGAGATGTGTGGGAAACAGCCAGAACTTGTCAGTACATTTCTGGTTTTGAAAATAGTTATTTTTCCTCTAAAAGTACTTTAAAAAAAAAATTCTAGGATGATTTAGGGAAGTACTTACCCCTGAAAAGTAGTGGCAACTTTCAACATAATTTAGAAATTGATTGGGCCCTGATAGTGAACCATAAAACCAGGTTAGTTCAAGTATTTAGAAACTGTCCAGGGTTTCCAAATCTCTTGTCATATCAAAACCAGTTCTTTCATTGTATGGGTATCTTAAAATCTTGAGATTCTTTACCAAATCTTCATCTTAATCACTTTAGGTAATAACTAGAAATTAACTTAATCTGCTAAAATATATCAGTAAGTTTTGAATAATTTCATTCTCAGCAGTTTAAATTTGTTGAGAGAATTTTGCTTTGCTTTCCATATTAATCTTAAGAAGAGTGAAATTTTTTATTCCTTATGAAAGTACAAGGTATTCTGAAAGGCAGTGAGTCAAAGATTTGACTAGAAAATGATTACTCTAGGAGAGTTGTGAGGGGAGGCCAGAAAGGAGGGTTGGCGCCTTTGTGGCCAGGCTAAGGAACTTGAACTCATGTCCTTTAAGCATTGAGTTTTTTTGAGAGACAGGTTTTGTACCAAAATACATGTTTTGGGAAAGTCAGTCTGATTTGCTGTAGAAGAATGAACTACAGGCGTCAAAAGACTGGTTTGTAGAGACAATGACCTAAGTTGTTTTGGTAATTGGTAATTAGAAATCACTTAAGTTCTCAGTGGATTTTGGTCAGTGGGAAAATGTTCTTAACATCAAAGTTAAATTTTTATGGAAACTGGAGGCATGGATTTGTTTGTGTTTACTTAATTGGGACATAGTACTCTGCTCTGGCTTAAATATTGTTTTAGAGTTGTCAATTTTTCATAACAATGTAGCCGGTACTTTTGTGATAGTCACAATGCGTTGTTCTTATACTTAAAATCTACCTTTATTTTGTTTCTTAAACATTTCTGTGTATTTTTATGTTTAATGTGTACTTTTGAACATATTTTAATATATTTTAACAAATAATAGTTGTATTTACTCTCTTCTATTGTGCATGGTAATTTTGAATGTGTGTGTGATGTGTTTGAAAGATATACAGGCTGTTAAATTACAAAAATCATTAATGTGAGAGATATGTATGGCAGGAAACTTTGCATTTAATAATGATGCAAACTTTGTTTTAATAATAATGTTTGGATTCTGTTTGTGTAATAGTCATACTCTAGGTTTGAAAGGATTTTTTTTAAATCACATAAAAGGAGCGGCAATCTCAATTAGTAAAAATACTATATTACAGAAAATATACAAAATGTGTGTTTATGGGTAGGAGAATTCATTTAAAATTCATTGAAATTTGATCAAAATGCTGTTATAGCAAAGTATCCATATGACAAATGACTGATGACCAAAGATTTGATGAATTGCTTGTTCAGTATAGCAAAAAGCTAAAAGGTAGAATCAGAACCTTTTGGACTATTCTTTAGAACTTGGAATAATAGAATTTGACTTGAGAAGATGGTTTTCTTTCCTTCAAAGGAAAAAATTAGTTGTTCTAATTTGCATAGGAGTCTTTGTATTTCCAGGGCTCTTTGTTGATAAGGTGCCTGGGAGCTAGTCTTACTGATCACAGTCAGTTATAGGCCTGGTTTGCGAAGTGCTGGATTTGGCAGCATAAAGAGTTATGGTGCAAGTTCAGGTGGATAATTTAGTTTTTGTTTGTTTTTATTCTCAAATAGCTTATGTCTCCCTGGGTTTTCTCTCTTGGTATCTCTCTCCTTGCCTACAAGATGAGCTTACAGTTTGGAGAGAATTGACTCAGGTTACCTCTAAAAGAAAGATTATAGAATTCTGCTGCACCCTAATACCGAGCAGGATTTACCAGAAATTGCTTGGAAATTTCATTCCTGATAGGGTTGTTTGTGCTGACATTTTGGTCTGCTAATGCCAAATAAGTGCCTAAAATCACTTAAGTTCTCATTACATGAAGTGTAATGCATAGACTCAGAAAGCAAACCTAAGGTTTATTTTTATTTTTTTGCATAGCATTTCAGTTTAATATTTTGAGAGATAACTAAAAATAGAGCAAGGTATATATTACTGTGCAACACATGGTTCTCACTCTCCTAATTTTTATTTTAAAGATTTATTTTATTTATGCATACAAGAACCGGGGTACAGGCCAGATGTGTGGGAGGGTGAGAGGATTCACCAGAGATAGAACGGGCAACAGAACAGGCAGACTGATGAAATACACTGCTGAGGGGAGCAGTGGGCGAGACAGGAGAGGTCTGCCGCCATGTGGGTATATCCCCGGCCGGCCCGGATTGAACCTGTACTACAGAGGCTGCACAGCTGCACAGCTTCACAGCTCTGCGCTCAACCGCCTGCGCCACCAGGGAGGCCCTCACTCTCCTAATTTTGTAGCCTTTGTGAGACACAAATGTATATGTCAGTGTGTAATCGAAGGCAAAATACTCTTAAATAGTACACTTCACTGCAAAAATTCTGAAGGGACTTACAGGCAGAAAGGGTGGGAAAGAATTAAATCTTCACAGATCCTTCTTAGCTTACTGGAAGAGTTTAAGAAAAAGTTAAGAGATTTGTAGTGTAGAGGACAGATCTTTTTTTTTTTTTAAAGATTTATTTATTTATACAAGCACTGGGTACAGTCAGAAACACGGGAGGGTGAGAGAATTCACCAGAGCCAGAGCGGGGAGCAGAGCAGGCAGAAGGACCGAAGTACACTGCTGAGGGGAGCAGCGGGCGGCAGGAGAGGTGTGCACACCATGTGGGACCCTCCTCCGGTGGCTGGGGAGCAGCTGGGAATCAAACCGGCGCTGCAGAGGCTGCGGGCAGCCTCGCAACCCAGCGCTCAACCCTGTGCCACCGGGGAGGCCCGAGGACAGATTTTTTTTAAAGGGTGTTTTCTACACAAAATAAGGTTGCTCCAAACATAGCAATTATGCATTTTGTTCTACACACTTTAACTGTACACCAGTATTGCTTTGTTCCATTCACTATGCTGAATTCTAAGGGTTCACAGATGAAGACTAATGTAGGTCATCCTGAAAAAATCCCCAGTCCAGTAATAATTGGTTACAATGAAGAAGCAGTATGGTAAAAAGCAAATTCAATGTACGGTGAGAATTCAGAAGTTGTTTTTACATGTTTTCCCAAAATTAGATTTTGGAAATTTTGCATTTAACATCAAGGAATGAAGTTGGGCTTCTCTGAAATAGTCAGATTTTTAACTATTTGCTCATTTTGAGTAGTAAGAACTATTGAATCAGATGCTACCA